ACACACACACACACACACACACACACACACACACACACACACACACACACACCCTCACACCCTCTCACCCTCTCTCTCTCTCTCACTCTTTCTCTATCAAATAGAAACTTAAAAAATCTGAGATTAAAACCCATATTTCATTCAACTATTGCATGTTTATTAAAGAAAATTAGTCCTTTTTTTTTTTACAAGATGAGCAAAAAAAAACAATCCCTGACCCAGCACTGTGTTGTAGTTTTCCTCTTGATGAGTAGCCAGAAGCCTGTAGTTAATGAAGTACATGTTTATGTCTTAAGAATACTCTCAGCCAATGTGGTGGCAGTGCACACCTTTAATCCCAGCACTCGGGAGGCAGAGGCAGGCGGATCTCTGTGAGTTCGAGGCCAGTCTGGACTACAAAGTGAGTTCCATGACTGCCAGGGCTGTTATACAAAGAAACCCTGCCTGAAAAAACAAACAAACAGAATGCTCTCTGCTTGTGTTTTTTTAAATGTAAATAATTCTATTTGAAAGGTGAAAATGCCTCTTCAGTGCTGTAATTTACTCTTCAGAAATAACCATTTTCTGGGGCTGGGGGAATGGGCTCAGTTGTTTAGAGCATTGGGTGGGTGCTCTTCCAGAGGACTGGAGCTCAGCGAGCTGTCTGTGAGTACAGTCCCAGGGGATCTTACACCTTCTGGCTTCCACAGGCACCAGGCACACACATAGTGCACAGGCATGCTTGCATACAGAACACCCATACACGGTAAAGAAGGAAGGAAGGAAGTAATTTTTTTTTAAACCATTTTCTGGTATTGGAACACACAAACTTTTTTTTTTTTTTAAAGATTTATTTATTTATTATGTATACAGTGAGTGTTCTGCCTACAGGCCAGAAGAGAACACCAGATCTCTCATTGTAGATGGTTGTGAGCCACCATGTGGTTGCTGGGAATTGAACTCAGGACCTCTGGAAGAACAGCCAGTGCTCTTAACCTCTGAGCCATCTCTTCAGCCCCCCCCCCAAACTCTTAGAAAAAAATGATATGATATCCTGTAACTTTTTTCCTATGAAGAGTTTTATTGTAGATCTTGCCTAGCATGCATGATGTTCTGGGTTCAATCTCCAGACCCATCAGAGAGAGAAAAGGAGAGTACAGAAGAGGGAGAAAGTGTGTTGTGACTTGGACCTGGTGCCTTAGCATTTGGGAGATGAAGGCAAGAGGATCATGAGTTCAAGACCAACCTAAGCAACATAGTGAAAACTGTCTCAAAACAAATTGCCACAACAAAATACATGTGTAAATTCAGGTAAATGTAGAATGGCCCTGTCTAAGTGAAATACAGTGTGAACCACTTATGTCTAGTAGCCTTATTAGAAAAACAAGTTTAATATATTTGGTTTAACTTAATATAGCCAAAAGATTATCATTTGAACATATAGCCAATGTAAGAAATATTAGAGGTTAAAGTTATTTTTTAACTTGTTATACTAAAAACTAAATTTTTTTAAAAAAAAATTTAAAAATTAAATTTTTAGTTCAAGTGTGAAATTTTTATTGAAAAAATGGTCTTTGCTGGGCAGTGGTGATGAATGCCTAAATCCCAGCACTCGGGAGGCAGAGAGGCAGGTGGATTTCTGAGTTTGAGGCTAGCCTGGTCTACATTGCGAGTTTCAGGACAATCAGGGCTACACAGAGAAAACCCTGTCTCAAAAAAGAAAGTAACAGTCTTCGTTTAAACTTTATAAAACTTGCAATTGAAAAGTAGATTTACGAACCCAATTTATGTGCATGCTTAAAAGAGTTTAATTAAAATAATGTACTGACCTTGTTTGAAGGAACTACGGCTGCTGTGACTTCTATGTTGGACAGAAGCAAATTTTGATAATCCTTTTCAATGGCTGCATACTTACGTATGTGTCCATTTTAGTGATCGCTGTGAATTACCACAGTGGCCCTGTGAGTTGCTAACGCAAATGCACAGAAGAAATAGAATGTAGCACGCCGCCCAACTTAGCCCAGTCATCTGTTGCTGAGTCCTGAATTCGGTTCATCTCTCCTGGTCTAACTGGGAAAGGTTTGCTTTGGTTACTAGTGGGCTGGTGCCCCTTTCCATGCTTGATCCTTCACACATCGTCTGCTTTCAGAAAGGAATCTCCCGATAAGCACACTGTGTATGAGTTTAGTACGTTCTTCCCCTTATTTGGACACGTTCCTTCTTTCTACTTTTCTATTGTAAATGATGCCACAGAAAACTTTTCACACATCTGTTTTGGTTAATATCTTTACATAAATTGCTATTGATGGAGTCAAAGCAGGGAACTTTTTTTTTTTTTTTTTAAAGACAGGGTTTCTCTGTGTATCCCTGGCTGTCCTGGAATTCCCTCTGTAGACCAGGCTGGCCTCAAATTCAGAGATCCACCTGCCTCTGCCTCCCGAGTGCTAAGATTAAAGGGGTGCACCACCACCTCCCAGCTGGCAGCAAATATTCTTAAATTGTTTGATAGAAAAGAGCAAAATGCATTTTCAAAGAGTTCGTCCTGTTACCATCCATCCATTATATGGAGCAGTATTAATTTCTTAAATACTTTATTGGCATACAACAATATAGAAAAAGTCACATATCCTAAGCAGTTTGAGTTTATTACAGGGATACTCCATTTGAGCAGCACCTAGAAGCATGGAGCAGGCTTACACAGTACTTCAGGAGCCTGTTGGAGGTGTGTTCAAGTCATTACCTACCCCATCATCCAACTTTAGACAGCTAACGAATTCTACGAACAAGGTTTGAAGGCTAAGGTGCCACGTTCTCTGTCTGCACAGCGATTCCATTATGGAAGTATTGTGCTCGTTGTTTTCTTAGAAAGACTTCTAACTGTTTTAGAAAGACTGTTGTTATAAAGTTGGCGAACTGGAGACCACCTCGGATATGGCTCTTTCTCATTAGTAACGTACATTAAATAAATGTAATTTCTGGATTGAATAAATGTTATCTTAAACTCATTTAGTTGATAAATATAAAGGGAATTCTGCCATCCAGGATATGCTGTCATAACCATCTTGTCTTGAGGTTTCTAGAATTTGTATATAACAGAGGTTCTCAAGCTTCAGTCTTTTTTGTTTGTTTTCTGAGATGGTGTTACTTTGTGTATCCCTGGCTGACCTGCTCTGAAGACCAGGCTGGCTTCAAACTCACAGAGATCTGCCTCTGCCTCCCGAGTGCTGGGATCAAGGGCATTCGCCACCATCTCCTGGTTCAAGTTTCAGTCTTAAGACTCCCCAGAGGGACTTGTTAATAAAGACTTGCCATAAAGAGTCTGTGGCATAGATCAGGATGAGGCAGAGAGAAGGGCATTTTTAGTAACCTCTTGGGTGTGTGAGTTGGGTACTTCACTGTGTGAGTTCCAGGGAGCAGAGAACTAAACATGTCACCTGTTAGTTAGGCTTGGTATATATCAGACATCAGTAAGTGCTTGCCGAATGAATGATCAGGTACTTTGAAAGTTGAAGCAGGGTGGGTTTTCAAAATTAGCCATAGTAGGAATTTTAAAGCCGTGCCATGCCTGATCTAGTACTCACTTGGCTTAGGTCTTGGTACCTGGCAGGGTTGATGTGCACACCTTTAATCCCAGTACAGGGAAACAAACACACAGATCTCTGATTTCAGGATTAGCCTGGTCTATGGAGTGAGTTCCATGCCAGTCCGGGCCCTAGAGTAAGACCCTGTTTACAACAACAAAAGTTGAATATCCTAACATTTGCATCTGTAAGAATAAGTACACTTGAAATTTCAGAAAATTCAGAAATGCAGAGAAAAGCATTCAGAAAAAAACAAAATTCCAAAGTATCTTGACATTTTTTTAAAGAAAAATTGTATTGCAATTACAACATACTTACTTTAGATTTTTTAAAGTGTTTTCCATTATAGTTAAATGTAAGAGTTAAAATGACTCATATTTAAAGAAGTTTTGCTTAAGGTTAAATAACATATCCTGATTTTTGCTGATACTTTAGAAACACACTCTACTGTTAGAAACAGTCTGTCCCGTAAATGAATGCAGCTCAGAAGTGAGTGGACGTGCAAGAGTTCCGTGGTAGGAATGGTGAGTGCACTTTAGGAAGAGCAGGTTTACATGTGTCTGCATGGTCCTCAAGTGCAGGCTTTAGGTTTTCTACCTTCACATTGTCCTTTGTCGGCTGTTTGACTTTGAGAAGATATCAGTTTTTCTGACCTAGGCCCCTCAGCCTGAAAATGGAGATCCCATCAGCTCTTTGGCTTCTCTGGAAAGTTCAGAGAGCCCTGATTCTGTCTGATGGTTGCCTTTCTCTGTCTAGTTAAATTTAGTGTCTGAAGGACCTGTTTTTAAGGGAAGGTTTTTCCTATTTCCTTTGTGTTTGAAATTGAAAATAAAAGCAAAGAATGCTGTCTTTTTTGCTTGAAGATCAACAATCAATTGTGTATTTTGCTAATATGGGAAATACTAGCCATGATTTTCTTTAAGGGTATTTTTCCCTTTATTTTTCTGCCCTTTCTGTCTTATTAGGACATGAAGGATCAGATGTCAGCTTCATCTGTGCAGGCACTGGCTGAAAGGAAAAACAGACAGGTAAGAAAGCATCCGAATGTAAGTGTCTGTTAAAGAAAACATGTGTCTAGACATTTGGGATTTGAAATTGCTGACCATCCCTGGACCGTGTGATGAAGAACACACCTGTGTACACTGGCCCGGGGGGAGGGGGGGTAGGTATTGTGACGTCTTTTGTTTGTTAGTGCCTGTTCCTAGTACTTGCCACTGTAACAAACTCTGGAGCTGATCAGCTTATAGAGAACAGTTGTATTATTGCTTGTTTGGCAGGTTTTATCCATGATTGGTTAGTCTCGATGCTTTTGGGCATGTGGCCTCATGACAGCAAGACACAAAACTCACTAATTCCACTTCTTTAAAAATTTTTCTTTTCATATGATATATTTTATTCATATTGTTTGCCCATCTCCTGACTCTTCCCAGATTTCCCCCTCCTTACCCACTCCATTTTATATTCTTTCTTTTTCTTAAAACGCTGAAGCCAAGCTAGGCAGTGGTGGCACACACCTTTAATCCCAGCACCCAGGAGGCAGAGGCAGGAGGATCTCTCTGAGTTCGAGGCCAGCCTGGTCTACAGAGTGAGTTCCAGGACAGCCAGGACTACACAGAGAAACCATGTTTTGAAAAACCAAAAAACAAACCAAAACCAAATAAAAAAGCAAGCTGGAACACACATGCACAAAGCCAACAACATGTAGTCCGTTTTGTGTTGGTGAACACATCCTGAGCATGTGGCCTGCCTGCCCTAGAGTGTGGTTAATAGTGCCCAGTGCCACTCCTTTGAAGAAAAGGGGTCTTCACTCTCCCAGCATCATTTAGTGGCAAATACTGTTGTTTGGGGATGGGACTTTGTGCTCACTTCCTTTTCTCCATGCCGGGATGTTGTCTGGTGTGACCCTGGGCAGGGCTTGTCTGTGTTGTCATAGTTGCCGTGAGTCCGTATGTACGTCAGCCCTGTCTGTCTGGATGATGGTTTCTCCTTGGAGTCACCCACCATCTCTGGCTCTGGCCATCTTTTCCACCTCCTCTTGTGTGTAGGTCCCTGAGCCTTGAGGGGAGGGGGTGATACAGACATCCCAGTTAGGACCGCATGCTCCAGAATCTGACTCTGCATGTTGTCCAGCATGGGTTAATTGCCCTCTACTGCAGGAAGAAGCTTTTGGGTGTGGGTTCATCTGTGGACTGATTTTACGGTGATTAGCTACACGTCTATAAGATTCCATTACCTCTCAGAAGTGCTACAAGCTAGGGCCCAAGGCTTTACCAACCGGCCTTTGGTGGTAAAGACATTTAGACAAACATTAGCTTCTAGACAGCTTTCCTCAACTCTGCCACTCCCCTCCACCCCCACCCCCAAATTCCCCTGCTCCTTCTGCTCTTCGGGCACCTCCTGTGAGCCAGGTGTCTGCTAAAGACTCTTAATAACTTACTGTCTTTTTACAGGTCTCCAGGCTCCTTGATAACGACACGGTTATGTTTGAATTTTGATGTAGCCAGGAGGTTGCTTGTGCCCCTAGGCTGGCTACAAGTGTAAGGCCCGTCAGTCCACATGGTGTGAGCTCAGCACCAGCCTGGGATATATAGTGAAACTTTGTCTCAAAAATAAGTAAATAAATGAAATTGATGTAGACATCTGAGTAATCCTTAACATGCTTCAACATTATTATTTATTTATGTGTTTATGTATTTATTTATTTATTTAGAGACAGGGTTTCTCTGTTTAGCTTTGGAACCTGTCCTAGAACTCACTCTGTAGTTCAGGTGAGTGCTTGTACTCACAGAGTTCTGCCTGTCTCTGTTTCCCCAGTGTTGGGATTAAAGGTGAGTGCCACCACCGCCTGGCCTATTTTTTGTTTGTTTGTTTGTTTGTTTTTTTGAGAAAGAGTTTTTCTATATAGTCCTGGTTGTCCTGAAACTCGCTATGTAGATCAGCCTGGCCCTGAACTCACAGAGAACCACCTGCCTCTGCTTCCCAAGTGGCTACCACACCTGGCAGCACATTTCAAATTAAACTTCTTCATTTAAAAATGTTGTCAAATTAAACTTCTTCATTTAAAAATGTTGGTTATTGATTTGGGGGAGGGGATTGTTTTGTTTGCTCTGAGACAGGGTTTTGCCATGCATATAGCTATGGCTAGCCTATGTAGCCCAGGTTGTCCTGAAACTCAAAAACAATCTTCCTACCCTAGCTTTCTGAGTGCTGAGATTACAGACCCAAACCACCATGCCTGGTTGTTGAAAGTATTTTAAGAAATGGCAGAGTTTTGTATACTGGAAACCCCTTTGGGGGTTGGAGAGATGAGATTACAAGCACTTGCTGGTTTTCCAGGGGACTGAGACTTGACTTCAGCTTTCAGCATCCATATTAGACGACTCACAGCTACCTGTAAGCCTAGCTCCGGGGATCCAGTGCCTTCACCCACATGCACGTACCCGCATGCAGACACACACACTAACACATAATTAAAAATGATAAAAATAGAAAAGAAACTCCTTTCTAATTATTAAAATATAATCCTTAAAAAATAGACAGCTATCACCTAGAACTTAAACTTGAATTTAAGAAAAAAAAATTTCTGATTTGTTTGTTTGGTGAGGTAGAATATTCCTTCAAGTCTATTTTTCTTGTTTGCTTTTGTTGGGCTGTTTGTTTTCATTGTTCTTATCTACCTCTCCTCTTGTTCTTTTTTGAAGCTATAACTAGGAAAAGCTATTGGTCAGCTTGTCCCCATCTACCTTGAACCCTTCAAAGAAGCTAGTGAGTGGCCAAAGTGGCCTTTACCTCATGGGCCTTTGGCAGACACTTGACTAGACCTGCCCTAACGCTGCTCCCCACTGCTCCTTCTCGTCTTCCCCTAGCTGCTCTCCTTAGGAGCAGAGTCCCTCCGTGAGGCCCATCCGGATGTCTTGAAGACAGAGAGAGCCCTTCCTGGTGTTCTCAAACCGTTCCACCAGGCACCAGCCTGCACTGCCACAGCAAAGCCTGGTCCAGGTTTAAGGACCATTTAAGTGCTCAGCAATAGCTCCTGAGTGTTTCTCCTGACTGGGTGTCCCTGCTCACACAGGCGCTGCTAGGAGACAGCAGCCAGACCTGGAACGCTGGCGTGACGGATCGATACGGGCGCCTTGACCGAGAGCTGCAGCTAGCCAACTCCCATTTCATTGAGGAGCAGCAGGCACAGCAGCAGGTACCCGAGAACAGCCCACCAAGGTACCGGAGGTAGCAGGCAGGGCGCCTCCCCTGACTCTTCTGCCAGCCACGGGCTATTACTTAGGACAAGCAGGTTGGACCTGAGCGTGTCCTGTGCTTGGTTGTCGGGTGTGGAATGATTGTGTACACTGTTTAAGATCTTGAGAGTGTGGTGTCCCAGAGAACTAGACTTGATCAGACCTCGGAAAACACAGCTGACATCGAAACTGGCCAGGGCCAGGGTTTGTGCAGGCTTTGTTGCTGTTTTGAGATGGGTTCTCACTGTATAGCTCTGGTTGGCAGCCTGGCCTCCATCCCAGAGAATTGCCTGCTTTTGCCTTCTGAGAGCAGAGTTTAAAAATGTATGCTACCTCCAAATAAGGCCAAGGATTTGAAAAGAGAAAACAATCCCTCTTCCCCCTTGTATATTCAGATTTTTGTTTATTTTAACAAAGATGCTTTCAGAAACATTGAGTTCTTGTTTTGTCCATTAAAAGTCGTTAATTTGTTCCATTATATAAAAACCAGTTGCTTTGATGGAGGTTGAGGTATAGAAGGAAAATGAGCTTGTCCCCATGCTGTTACATTCTTTATTTATATATTTATTGTTACTGTTTTACTGAGGCGGAGTCATGCTGTGTAGTCCAGGCTGGCTTTGAACTCATGGCTCTTCTGCCTTAGCTTCATGTGTGCTGAGATCTTAGGCTTGGGCCACCTGCCCGCCTGAGTTCTTGCTTTGATGGCTAGCAATGCTGGTAAGAGGAAGCTAACGATTACGTTATGTAGGTGTCAGGACATGAGAGTCACCTGTCCACTGAACTGCTTTATGTGTATATGTAGACTTCGTGTTGTTTTGTTGTATTTACATTATCATGATGGCTAACTTGTGTCTGCTCTCAGAATGTTCCAGTGAAGCAAAGGTTTTAATAGAGAGTAAGGGCGCCACAGCACAATCGAATGTAGGCCTTTGTTAGCCCACAGTTGTCATCGAGGTGAGTTATTGTCCTTGAGGAGGAAGAAGGGGACTCTCTGCAGTCCTCCCACGTCCATAGATTTGCCAGGCTCTCTCTCACGCATGCTGTGGCAGTGTGTTGTGTTGAAACCTCGCTCTTGGCAGTGGACGTCCTCATCCTAACCAACCCCTGGTGTGGTGGTCATATGCTTGTGTGCTTTTGGCCGTCGTCTGTTCCCTTGCTGGACCTCAGCCAAGCAGAGTAAATCTCTCTTGGTGGTTTCAAGCCCTGCTGACTGTTCACAAGTTGGATCAGCGGGCGATACGGGTAGCTTGACAATCCGGTCTTTGGAGCAGTGTGTTCTCAGAGGCAATGGTCTGTGTTCTTTGATTCTGGGCTTTGCTTTTGAATGTGAATTGTCCCAAGCTGGCAAAGAAGCTAGCAGCTGCTGGGGTGCTGGGCTTGGAACCAGGTAAGATGGATTTTAATTGCTTATTTCCGTTTCTCTGGCACCAGTTGATTGTGGAACAGCAGGATGAGCAGTTGGAGCTGGTCTCTGGCAGCATCGGGGTGCTGAAGAACATGTCCCAGCGCATCGGAGGGGAGCTGGAGGAACAGGCAGTGTGAGTAGTGAGAATGCCCTTATCTGCAGTGATGGGGGGGGCGGGG